GCAATCACTTCATTTCCAATGATCTGTGGATAGCGATGGTCTATCATCACGGTGAATAAGTCGGCCCAGGCTGTCAACCGGAGGCAGTTGTTCATTAGGATGAATCGGAGCGAAGCGGAAAAGGTACTCAGTTAGTTCTCGCATGCATGGACAACTTGTGACTGGGAAAAATGAACAGTTTTGTTCGGGGTCCATAAAATGCAATATTAGTACATTTCGGCACGGATACTCCTCCAAAGATCACCCACCCTTCTTTCCACATGCAATCTCAACGGAGGTCAGCAAATAAAAGTCATACCTAGTGGATTGAATTGGCAGACTTCTACACCACACAGATAGTGTGTTGGGACACTACACTTTCAAGTTATCAGATAATGTTCCGTGACAGAGCTGCAGAGTTGCATTGGTGGTACGCAAAACAGAGATGCGAATAGGTAAGGAAGTAAAGGATATGCAAAAACCAAATCGGCAGAAAAATTTCTCTCATGCCCCTTTTGAAAGATATGCTTCCATCAATATGGACGTTAATGAAGCAAATGACTGGATTATTTCAACTCTGAACCTGGTTAGATTTTGACGATTAATTCCGTACCTTGAGAATTTTCAGCAGTTGTAACTGAGTACGAAATTTGTTCGGATTGTAGTCCTTTCTTGCTGGGGTGGTTTCTTCACCTATGGACAGATTGAAAAGGAGAGAGTACACATTGAAATCGGCGAGGTATTGTAACCTAGATGAAAGAACTATTTTGCACACTATATAGTAAATGGATAGATCAATCTATACCTTGTGATTTCGAGTACATTCGATGTGTTTGACAAAAGGAATTTTACAGATATGCGTTCTTGCACACATTCCAGTTTTTGGAGGACTGAGCAAGCTATGGTTAAATACAGAGGACACCCCGGGATGCGTCTGAGGGCTCGTTTCTTTTGTGGATGGCAACATTGTTGTTGAAAGCAGCGAACAGTGGTTATCTCAGGTGCCATTGCGTGATGTTTCACCGCATGCACACTTATCGATTCATTGAGCAAGGTTATTTGATGGGCAAGGCACTTAATTTGAATGAGCTGAATGTCATAATTGTATTTTGACCTCTTATATATATAGTTGATTGCATAGAGTTTCAGCGCCATTCTAATCTAACTTATTTGCAGAACTTTTTGGTAATTTGCACTGTAGTCAACCAACCAATGTCTGACTGTCCCATGTCCTGGAGTGGTATTCAGTGTGCTATTGCAACGCATGTGTTCTGCTGTAACATTTACAGAATATTAAAAACAGATTACGTTGTGGGTAAGAGAAGTTGAGGCCGATCTGTCAAGCCGTATTCGTTAAGTCAACTCCTCAGTCACCGATAACCAAGTGAGTAGGCGCCAAAATCTCCGTCCAAAAGGTGCTGAGTGAATCGCAATATCAAACACAGAAGATTTCTACACAGGCGTGCCCGGAAGACAATATCGTATAAACATGCCTGATCTAGTGTTCCCGAACAGCAGTATTTCTTGGTTTTCGTAAAACGTTACCCGGTTTTATATCCAGTAGGCAAAGGATACGAAATCAGAGCGAAACGCGGACCCGGTGGTTCCCTGATGGAACGACGGACTTCATGAAGGACGTTTTGTGCTTGTAGGTAAGATCGGTTAGATGAACAGGCGAGATTGGTTACATCTATCCCCACACCACTACTCACTAACGTGAAGTCAAGCTGAGCGTTATGTATCCATGTTGGATAAAAATAGATTGTCGGTGTTCAAAAATCGTTGGCTACGTCGCATTGCACGAGTCTGGTGGGATAACCGGACGAGCAATACTGAGGTTAGGCGTAGAGTTTTAGGTAGTCGCGGTTGTCCATTGGAGAAAGTAGTCGACCTTCATAGATTACGCTGGCTGGGACATATCACCAGATAGGTTGCCATGGCGAATGATGTTTGCCGAAACGGGTAGTGGCTGGATGAAGGTCAAGAATGATTAAACGAAGACCTGGCATGAGGGTAAGAAAACCCTAACCAGAAGACTAGGTCACATAGGTCCCGTTAGGCTCCCTGATTGGCAATCCCAAGATCACGGCCAGCGATGGCTAGAGACACTGAGTGATATGGCTGGGTGTCGTAAACAGTGGCGCTCATTATTCTACGCATTATTCTCTTAACATCAGTCTATATGATTTTTCTATCTTCTGTTCGAATTGGTTCTTAACATTCCATCTTCATCCAACTGGGCGACCAAGATACACCAATTAAAAATTGAAGTCGAATAATATAAGTTATGAACTGTTTCAACTGGGTAATACTGATCCAAAATGACGTTTAGATAATCCGTGAGATGTTCAACCGATAGACAAAACCAACTGAGATACTAAATGACGGCACCATTCACTGATTGGTTCTTGTATCAGCACTGTGATGAGAGTATGCCGCAAATCACTCGCATCGGATCTCACGTGACTGGTCAGCCTAATGGTTATTAATCATCTGTATTTCACGCACCAACCCTGTAAATCGTGTTTACACAGTTACAGTCAGCTCGCACTCCATTTCAGCGACTTGTGCTCTTCATTGACCCCGGGGACCTAAAGTTACAACAAGCATTAAGTGCCAGAAAAATGTCTACCGTTCAATGAAAATCCAGTCGACATTATTTGTTACCTTTCATGCAACGACAAACAAAATACACATGTGAAATCAATTTCGCTAGGAACAGCGAGTCAAGATGGTTTGCGGTAACAGATCAAACAATTTAGGATGCCGCACGTGACGTAAACAACAATGGTTCCCAGGCTGATGAACAATATGGAATGGGTCAGTCCTTGTTATCACCCATGCACCCATTGTTATCAATACAGGTGTTTGCGCTCGTTAATCAAAACGGTATCACGCCTCGGGGAACTAACGCACATACACACACACAGACACACAAACAGATAAACACGCACTGACCCCGGGGCGCATATCACATCTAGGGAACCGCATCATTTGTTTATTACCAACGTGAAAAGTAATCGTATTTTACCCAAAATAGAAGCGATGAGTACAACGGTTGTTGTTGTTTTTGTTGTCATGTTACAATGCGACATTTATGAGATTTTAGATAAAAGTTGTCAAAGTTTTGATCGGATTATTGCTTCTTCTCATATATCTCTTTTTATGCCTATGCTTTTTACTTCCTTTTTTATTTATTGAATATTACAAATGTACAGTCAACTTCAGGAAGGGGGCTGCGGTCACGCAAAGGCTGTCTGTAAAATCTGGAAATCAGTTTCGAATGTTTCGCTGCGTCAATCAAAGGTGAAACAGATGTGTCGGTTATGAGATTCCAACCCTGTAAAACCATGTGTGAATCTGGAGCGACAGATTTGCGCAGCGGATACCTTGGAAAACGAATGTGACGAGATTAGAAAAGTTTTACAATCCAACGGATATACAATAGGGTTCATCTCAAAGCACTCTCGACCCAACCATAGTCGGGAAAAGACACCAGGTGCAGATAAGATGAGAGTGGTCCTGTAACTGCCCTTCAAAGGTGACGATATTAGCTGCCTGATTACCAAGCGCCTAAAATCGGCCGTTAAGTGCACCTACTACGCAGCTGACCTCATCGTTGATTTTACAACCACCCGGTTGCCAACACCATCGGTGAAAGAACCGCTATTTCCACACTCCAAATCTAATTGCACCTATCGATTGAAGTGTAGTCGCTCGGCCATCTACATCGGCAGAACAGAGAGAGAACTGCGTTACCGAGTAACCGAGCTCTCCCCGGTCTGGCTTCAGAAAACAATGAGTGGGAAGTTCGGAAGTATGCCGTGACCGATGACCCGTAGGAAACTCAGTTCGTTGATCACACAACACCCGATCGAAATGAAACGCTGTGTCATGCTACGCAACGCGTTCGGAATCCTCTACTACATAAACAACATTAGGGTACTGAAATGCGCCGAGGGACTAGCCATTCGAAATTACCATCGTTCTGGCGCTACCTTGGTAAAAATGTGTTTGTTGAGTAATTTTTAGTGCAATCTTTCTCCGCTATTGTTATTTACTGATCATGTATTAATATCACACAAACTGCAGTATGCACGTGTGCAGATGAAACGAAATGTTCCAGGATACATTGTGCAACCCGGTGGATTTAGCCTCACTATTCAAAATCAGTTATTTCTTGACTCACATCCTAATGCCTACCGTGTGTGCTTGACCATCCCAGACACCATCCTCGTGTCCGTTGTCTATTTTCTCACTTACACCGTGCTTCCGGTTGACATATGTCGCCCCACATCCGCCTGTGGGGTCACTTCGCTATCCCATCCCTGTGATTGGTCTTCACCGCCCTTTAAGTAGCACTGTCGCATTTTCAAGAGAGTGTCTTCCTGGCATGTGTGCCCTTGTCTTGTGGAACCGATTTTATTGCCTAGACCGGGTGGTCTCGAATTTGAGGTATGCCGTTGTATTTCCACTGATTCATGATTGATTACGCAACAGTACACGTAGATCTCCCCGTATTGTATTCTGCCACAGATTCGGAGTTCGGTATCTGCGAGTCACTCTATCATCGGACATCATTCCGGCACACCATGTAGCACAAAAAGGATCAGATATGGTTTGAAATAAAGACAAACAAATCGCGACTGGGAACATCCCGAATAATGGGACTGACCGTTCTGGGTTCCACGCACGTTTGTACAATCCCAGTGGCTCAGTAACAAGAGCAGTTTTCGTTCCAAGCGTTGCAAACTCTCGGCGTCGTATAAGTTGAAATTCACCAAATGTTTAGCCAATTTTACAATCTAAATAGAAACAATATGATTCCGATTGAGAGATTGTACAATTGGTTGAAAACAGATTGGTAACCGTAGACAGGTGAATATGAAAACGATCATTCATTGACCTTTTTGAATCAGTTATACACTTGTAAAAGATGAACTTGTTTGCAACAATTCAGTCTACAGAATCAAATTATCAAACGTTTTGGTCAGCCCGAACAGGTTTTCACATTAAATCCTTCCGTTATGTTCCCACGATTAAGAAACTGTTTAATCCACCTACTGAGTTCAGTGTGAGTACAGTCAGTCTCTTGCTATGTCGCATCTACGAGAAGTTGCATTTTCCAGTATCTTCCCACGTTTTAGAAAACCCCAATCAATCATCTGTGTAATAGCATATATATTAACTACGGTGTGTTGTNCCCCCCCCCCCCCCCCGTATGTCGCAGATGTTGATACCTACTCACTCGGTTGTTAACCCACGTACAGGTTAGCTATTAACCAATCAACCTGCGAGGTCGCATCCAGCCAATGACATTTCACCTAGTGTGACACGAACATCATACTATCCGCTGATTGGATAACACTTGTTCGGAAGGCACACCGATACCAATAATCGAAGATAGTGTCATGTGACGTCAAAATATGTAACCGCCTATCTATTGATCACCATGCAGCAGAATGTGTTCGAAGCGCTCCGTAATCTGGGTGCAACTCAGTGCCACATCAGTTGGTATTTCACGAAGAAAAAAGACTGTCTACAATGTTATGTTCAACTGAACGGTTATCGGAGAATTGGTTAACACTGGAGCATCTAAGGCAAGATGCCACCTGAAAATCAGCGCAAAGTTCAAGGCAGCAATTGAGGTAACCTTGGCTTCTCTGACTGCTATGAGGGGAGTTCCCCATTGCAGAAAGCATTTTTTGTAAATAGGGAACCAAACTAGCACACGGAATGCGCTCAGTCAGGCAGATGTGATATTCATTCCTACGAAGTAAGAGACAAGTAGCTACTCATGTGCAATACTTCATAGATTTCTGCAGAAAGTTTTACGATACCACGTGAAGCGGTGGACCACATTCGCGCGGGGTTACCACAGTTGAATCTACGGACTGTGCTATTTTCAATGCAGATGAAACAACTTTGTGTTGCAAATAGCTCCCAGAAAGATTTGTTAGGTCTCAACGAAGAAATAGTTTCTGGATCATTAAAAATTGAAAGAGAGGGTCAGATGACTGCTTTGTGGGAGGATACCTGGGGTAAAGTTATCACCGCTAGTTATTAGAAAATTCCAAACTCCACAATGTCCCCCGAATTATAGATGGGAAAAGCCGTGCCTGTTGTAATAATTCTTCAATGAATTCATGGATAACTTCTGCGTTATTTTGCTTGTACTTGTCCGATGACCACCACAAATATCATTTCTCAAAGATGCCCTTTGTTACTTTTGATCGAGAACGCCCCGTGCTGAGGCAAGGTCGCAGTTTTCTCTAATTTCAAATGAGTAAGGTTGCGTTTAAACTGTTCCTTAATGTTACAACCAATTGGACTGATTTTGTCTTTCAAAGTTTGTTCCGGAACTACTTACTGCAGTACGCTTTGTCTCTGATCGAAGATGAGCAACTTAGCATGAATGACGCAATGGAAATCGCCATGCGCTTGTATCTGGTCAAAATGCTTGTGCACCCGCACGTTTTCATAGAAGCTGGGTTCAATCCCACATTGAATCATCCACAAAGCCTCGTATTGTCTCCCGCTATGCGAATACGAGCCGCGGGACATTCTGTCGCGTATATCCATTCACTCCGTTGCGCTGCTAGAGCCCGGAGTACGAACGTACTGTTCGCATTACACAAACACATCCAGATTAAACTGATCAGAATATTCACCCGGATAGTTTTGGGTGGTCATGACAATCGGATTAGCAAACGACCAAATTTGTTTCAGTTTTCAGTTTGTACAATCATTAACCGTGCAATATCGTGTGCCGGTTTTGGTTGCTATCTTTAAGCTGTCCATTTGGATGAATACTAGAAGAAAGACAGGGAAGGCTGAGAAAGTAGGATCGAAGTTCCCATCCAGGGAGCCTAACGGGACCTATGTGACCTAGTCTTCTGGTTAG